TCTCACTATTTCTTCCTCTTCGCTATTGTAGACATTAACAATATTTAAAGCATCCATAATGTCAAAGCACATGTAGGTTATAAAGTGAAGATTATCTCTTAACAATGGGTTAACAGTACCCTGAGAGTAAGGTTAAAATTAGCTTTCGGTTAGTCTTTAACTATCAATTGAAACAGAAATGTTTTAGTTAACATTCAGTTAGCTCAAGGTTAGAGTAACTACACATTTAAAAACCGGCCCTTAGTACTTTTAGTAATTAGGAATTTTTAAAACAATGGGCGTGTCAAGCGTTTGATCTCCTTTTTTCTTTTACCCTGTTCTTTAGTATCCGGTCGGCGTAATAAATAATTATCATAGGAAGGTAATAGGTAATTAGTTAATTATATTTCTTGTTTGGAACTAAGATTTCTTACAAAACCATTTGCTCAAATTTAGGTATATTGTTTATAAAAATTCTTTACGGATTTAAAATTATTTTTCCAACGAAGAGATTCTAATAAAATACATGCATTTTAGCATTGTATTTATTTAATTTAGTATATAAGTAACTAATATTTAATGTAGCCTTATTATTTATATAGTCCGTAATAATTATAATTACGAGATCGTTAATTGTATATGTGTTTCAATAAAATATCTACGCTTAGCACTTTCAGTGTTATGTTTTCCAGTGTATGCTGAGAATCCCGTCTCTAATGGTCTACGTATTACTTAGTTCTAAAAAAATCCGCCGGGTTTTGCGATGGCAGCAAAAATCAGTGGCAATTACTTAAATTTTATTTTGATCATATCTCTCTTATTTGGTGAGGAAAAATTCTCCGGTTTTTTTTAATCGGTTTTAAATTTTACTTGTAAAGGAGGCTGTTTTTTAGAATTTCAATTTTTATCGTAGTTTAAAAAATAAAAATTTCATAATTTTTTTTTCAAAAATGTAAAAAACACGCTCCAATTGTATAAAAATTACCAATCGACTAGTAAAAACAAAAAAAATATATTTTTAAAAATAAGGACGTTACGGTCAAAAAACGAAATATATGTGGTGTGCGGGGCTCTTAATATACAGTGCTATAAAATATTTGTTTTTTTTTAAACAAAATTGCATCAATGTCACATTTAATTTGTAGTGTAGACCAGGATTGCCAGATCTTTGTAATGAAAAAGCGGGACACTGTCGTTTCAGCAAAAGGGCCACACATTTTTTAGAGCCACGCTTAATTTTGTCAGGAATTCAACCAAAACTTAAAAATGAGGACAAAAACAAAATATTCTTTATTAGAATAACAAAATAAACGCTTTACAATAAAACAACAGAAGGCATTATTTATACCCTATATATACAGGGTGTTACTTAATGATAGGCCGTAATTCCAAGGGGGCATGCTTGTACCAAGTAGAAAAGTTTAACAATCGAAGTTAACTTGATCTTATTGTTAATTTTAATAAAAGTGGTTTTTATTTTTTCCTCAAAAACGAAGTAAGATAAAAAAGTTATATTTTTAGCTGCTTAATCGAAAAAGAAATATATAAAAGTTGAAAAGTCAGTGGCGTACATTTGTTTGTAAATATTATTCATAATAAAACTGCTCCTCAGCGCGACGCCACTGAAACTCTTAATTATCTTCTAGTCAGTGTAAACTCTTAGCGCCTTATCAGCGTTTATTTTTTATTTTTGAAGATTCTGCTTCATTTTTCTGAAAAGCACAACAATACGTTTAATTTTTTGTTAACAAAAAAAAAGTATAATATTATTTGCAGTTAAAAATTTAGTTAGGTGGGATGTTTAAAATAATTAAACCTTACCGAATTTTCGTGAATATCCACAAACACCAACGGTGACGGCGCACTTTCCTTTGCATTTTGATTTAAACAATCCACTATATCTTCGTAGATTCCACAGTTTTCACCTCCTAAAGGCCCTAACCAGTCTATTTCGTCAGACATAATGGAAGAATCCGATTCTGAAGCCATTTTAGCTTTACAAAAATTATCGTAAAATTAGTGTTATTATTGTAAAATTGTTTTATTGCACTTGCCAAAAGCTTCTCCCTTCTAACGGTTAAATGCAACAGGATAGAATCTGACTCGCACAGGTACAATGGTATAGGAAAAGTAAAAGTTGGAAAGGCTTTTGGTAGGTAGAGAGGGGGTAAACGTCAAACCACGTCGGACGGCTTCGAGAATTTCGCAGTAATGTTTACCTGCCAGTGTCGTTTCATAGAATAAGTAATTTTAAATTGTTATCGGCAGAACTGGACAATCGCATATATTAATGGAGACTATAAATAATTATTAAACATGTATTATAATATTCAAATCATAATTTTACAAAATTTCAACAGCTATTCACAATTTATTAAACTATTTACTCGAAATTGTTATTAACATCTATAATATAATTTTGTACGCCAATGTATCGCGTTCACTTCGGTGATATCCGCAGCAAACCTGTCAATTTATGTGTATAAAGTGGGAGAACTGGCAAAAGCCTTTCCAACTTTTACTTCTGTTCTAAAATACAGACATTTCCATTCCACGCGGTAATTCACCGAACAAAATGACCTCAACCACGAAACAACATCAAATGTTTGACCTACAATGCTTGAGAGGCCGGGAAAGTGTGGTAAATAATACGGCCGGAAAAGTGTTGCATTTTCTGCGACTTCTGGACCTCAAAATATTAATATCTTGCTAAATAACACTAAGTCAAATGTCACCTACTAGTGAGATACAGGGTATTAAAAATAAAATTTATCGTTTTTTTTGGAATATTCTGGTTAATATTTAACGTATTGATGTGAAATTTGGTAGACTGATGTTTATGGGGTGACAAATTGTGATGTTATTATCAATTTTAAGATTAGATAAAAATAAATACGTCAAGAATTAAATAATACGGATAATTTTGTACATCTATTAGGGTGTAACTGGTGCCCTCTTAGTTTAATCCTAAAATTGATAATAAAATTATAATTTGTCACTCTAAAACATCACCTCATCAAATTTCAAGATAATACAATAAATAATTACCAAAATATTGCCTAAATCTATAATTAAAATATTTCCATTCCTTATGAAAGTCCTGTGTAAGACCTATTTTTTCAGTAATAAAATAATTAAGATCTGTATGAAAGCAAAATGGTATACATGAGAGCCTTTTGAAATTTTATGATTTAAAACATAGTTATTTCGATAAGACGTGTGTGAAAATAAATACAAATTTATGAATTAATTATTATTATTATTTTTTTTTTATTTGGTGTTATCGGCATCGATTACTAAGGTCATTAGCCTCGTGTTCTGTGTAGGCTTTATTACTGTTTCCTAGCGCCATTTTAGGAACAGCACTGTTAATTAGAACCCAACAGTGAATGGTCGAGTGGGGAATCCTACCAAGACATCAGAATTAATTTTAAAAATTATTATTATTATTATTATTAATTATAATAATGTCTTATTAACAAAAACGGTCCCATCTGCATAATAGTGGTTTTCAGATATTTCAATCTTTCTTTGCACCTATATGTAGTGTTTTTTGATTGACCAAAATTCTGAATATTTTTTTTTTTTCTATAATGAAGGTAGTAGGAAAATACGTAATATTACGAAACGAGTGTTTGGTATACATTTAAATTTAAAAGAATTCACGTTTAAAAATGCTCTAAATATACTACCAAATTTTATATTACTTATTTCATCTTCAAAGTAGGTAAAAAAATAAGTAATATTAAAAAAAAATTAACAATATAATATGAGATATAAGAAGTATACTAAAACTTACCTTTTGCTTGAGACAGATTGAGACTTTTTTTTATACGATAATTTTCTTTTTCCAATTTCACAATAACAAAAATAACTCGCAAATTAAACTCAAAATACAACGCTTAAATTAAAATTTTATTTGAGTTAGAATATGTCGTTGACTTAAATTTGTAGGCGGTTCTCTAGGGTGGAGCATGATTAGGGTGGGGCGTGATTAAAGTGGGGTGTTAGTACATTAGGATTTGAAATTAACAAAATGATTAAGGTTACTTTTATAATAATTCCAATTAATTAAAAATTAATATGATCTGTTCTTAGGAATATTTTGAAAATTGTCCATTGTTTTCGACTCGAGATATTTCTCAAAATATTATGAATTCCGATATAATTTGGAAATTTATCAATAAAAATTATATTCGATCAATAAAAATCATATTCATATATCAAATTAAATTTATTTTTCTTTAGTAAAATGTATAATACAAATAGTCTAACCTTTTACTAGTAACTGCATGACTTTTCTTTCATAATTACGTAGTTACACAACACGTAAAATATAATAAAAAATATATTATACTAAATTTTTACAATCAAAAGAACGAGTTAGACCCTGGCCGAATCACTTTATATTTGCTAATCCAAGCCACCGTTGTTTCCAGGTATACGATAAACAGATATATTTTCACAAGTTCGAAATAAAAATATCAAGTAATTCTAAATATTTTTGGGAGTAGGTATGTAAAAACGAAATGTAACTCATAAATTATTGTTTATGACTTCTCATATAAGAGTTATTTTGTGATACTAGCTTTGAGTTTTATTTCTATTTTATTATATATATATATATATATATATATATATATATATATATATATATATATATATATATATATATATATATATATATATATATATATTTAATTTATAACTCCAAAGAATAGCTACTTTTTTATAATTTTGATAAAAAAGGAGGAGGTGCCCATTGTTTTTTAAAATATTTTTTCAAAAAAAAAAGATTGTTACCATGGAAAGTAAATAAGTCATTCTTTGATTAGAATATTTTATTACTAAAACAAGTAGCAATTTTTATAAAACGTTTTTTCTTGCATCCCAGTTAACAAAAATGCAACTGCAAGTTACTCAATTGCAAAAAAGGCGCTGTTTTAGATTCCATCAATAAATATTTTCCATTTATTTTACATTTAAAAAAATTCCTTCTAATTGTTTTTTTTTATTTTCAGCAAATTTCCGTAAAAGCAGTTCAAATCGCCGCAAATTTCTCGAAAGGTAATCGGTAGCACGATATCAATGGTTTGAGCTCATGTTCATTTCCCCTCTGACAATAAAGACGTTTGTTCCTAGAATGTATGTCCTGGGGCGTTCCTTCTAGGATCAAATGGACAAGGCTGCAGATATACTACCCAGAGATACTTCTACGTATCAAAGGGTCGCTATAGAATTGAATATGATACGATAATCATGGATGTCGTCGGGAATAGAAGATTTTCCGGTCGCGTTTTAATTTGGAGAACCTACTGGAGAATTATGGAGAACCAGAAAGGAATAGTTGGAGAGTTAAATGGGATAGAGAGTGAAGGTGACATGAGACACTTCAAATGGTGAGTATTTTGATTTGAATTGAGCTTTTTTAGTAAATCAACATAGTTTTATATTTTAGAGTTCATTTTTATTTCTATTGATATTTCTTGTATCTTATTTTTTAGGAGGCACAAGCGGCATCAAACGGTGAGTCTTTTGATTTAAATTTAATTAAGTATTATCATTATTAATCGTTAGGTATGCAGGGAGGGTCTTTCACGGCTGATTGGGAGGTCAATAACGTTGATATTTGATAAATATTTTTATTATACAGTTTATTTAAAAGTTTTTAAAGTTTATTTGAAATTATATTTATAATAAAATGGCAAGAACTTTTTATATAGCCATTTAATGTGAATGAAATAAATCTAAAACTTTGTACACTAAAAATGTACAGATATTATTATTATTTTACACTTATTAACGAATAGTAGGTTTAATATCAAAAGAGATTCGAGAGAAATCTCAGTTTAACTTAACCAATTAAATATACAGAAATTGAACGACCAGTAGAATAACAAAATCTAATTAAATTTCTCAAAAGATGAAAATAGTTATTAAAAGAAAGTTTTTATTTTTGAAGTGATACATTTTTATTGAAAAATATGGTTTGTATTTTATTTTAAGATTTTGTTTTTTCTTAAATAATAACAGAAAAATATTTCTCCGTCAATTGAAATGATATTTTATTTAAACATTTTTTCTTTAGTCCAATATGAAAGGGTAGTATTTTTTAATAAAAACAATATTATTTGAAGTATTTAAATTGATAGAAACACTTCAATGACAATTATTAATTTTGCTCAGAAGTAAAGTACGTTTATTTTTGACAAAATCGAAAAGTTGATTAGAATTGAAAATTACATTCACATATGCAATTACATCGATCTATCTAAAAAATCAGATTTTTTCAAGATTTTGTATTGATCCACCTAATTACGGTAATCCATTATTTTTTTTTCTCTTCTCTACTATATACAAGATAGGCTTTCCTTTTCTTGACGTTTGTGAAGAATTTAGCAATTTTCTTAATGAAAATTTTTGATTTTGTCAAAAATAAACCTACTTTACTCTTGAGCAAAATTCATATTTTTTGACAAACCTCGTATACAGCTTGAAAAAATTTGATATCTGATGACTGCATTTTAAGTTTTGGGTCATGCAGGACTTTTTATCAAGAACAACTTTTTTTTCTAAAATTAATAATAAAAAAGTTTTCCATATGATTCCAACTTACTGTATATTTAAAGATAATATGATTTTATGTGTTACAGCTAAGTCTAAAAATCAAATTCGCGATCCAAAGCATAGTTAGAATCAGTGTCATAGGTTGTTTTTTTTGTCTGCTTTAGTATTTGAACAACATTCTGGATCAGCTTCACATTCACACACTTCCGTGCAAAGTATATTTTGTGCAGAATATTTGCATCTTTGAGAACAGTTGTTTTTTTTATAGGAACATTTTATTAGATTAACTATTTCTTCAGGACCAGTGGCAAAATAGATATAAAATTTTAATTAAAAAAATAAATGAAGGACGGATACTTTTATATTTATTATATGACTACTATTTATGAGGTTTCTAACACAAGTTTTGCCACGAAATACCTTATCTTAAAGTATGCCAATATATTACTCAAAACCTATCAAAGAACCCTGCAAAAATAATTGAAAATTATAAATTAATTTACCCCTAGTAATTAATGCTGAAAGTCCTATTTATAGTATTTACACACGCGCACAAAGTTGCTTCAGTACACGCGCGTAGAAAGCATATTGTTATAACCAGGGCCGACTAGAGGGGGGGTAGCCGGGACTAATTCTCGGGGCCCGGCAGCGCTGTAAGGGGGGTCCGGTAACAAGTTTTTTCTTGTTCTGCATGAGAAATTCGACACAAGATGAGAGAGGGAAGTTAAGTTTTAAATTAATATTAAATTCAAGTAGAGGAAAAGTTTTAGTTTTAGCCTCGAGATTTTTTTTTCGGCTGAGGACTTTTTTTTTTTAGAAGAAAAAGTAATTGAAGTAGGGAGAATAGTTTTTTGATGTGAGGACCTTTTTTTTATAACGTAAAAAAAAACTAACAACAAACAAAATTTTGAAAATTTATTTAGGTTATTTTGTTTATTATAGTTTAAATATTCGGTAAAAAATTTAAAATTATAGCATTATAAATTTTAAGGTTTATTATTTAATTCAAGAATATTAGAATTTTCTTCAATTTTGGATTTTAAAAAATTTATAACAATTAAAGGGTTGAAGATACGATGATGGGCGTAAGGACTTTTTTTATTCGAAATATCCTAAAAAATATAAAAAAAATTAATTCATTGCAAAAAATGCATTTTTTCTGGCTTAATTAATTTTTCGTTGTTTAACCCATTTAGTGCCACGGACGAGATATATCGCATAATGTGTCCCTTATTGAGAGGCCACTGACGAGATATATCGCATGACGATACCTTCATTCACAGGCCACAAACGAGATATCTCGCAAGAGTTACAGCACGTTTATATAGCACGCACGATAAATTTTGCAAAACAAGACTTTTATAAAAATACGTAGCAGATATTTCTTGCTCACTTATGTACTAATTATGTAATTTAGGATATTATTTATAAGTTTTAAAGTTGTTTATAATAAATATGTAATAAATACATATGACTCCAACGTGATCGAAATACAAATACACGTACCTATTTTCAATAAACTTGAATGAAAAGTGCTTTATGGTGTTTTGGCGTAGGTTTTGGGCAAAATATTTTTGTGTACTGGGTGTCCAAATAAGAAAGGACACCGGCTGTAGGATACAGTCTGTATCTCTGAAACCATGCGTCGTAGAAATATGAAAAAAAAAAAATGAAATGTAAAAGTAATCGAACGGAATCGCTAGAAATTACTTTCACGTTTCTTACTTCGCCCCTAGATGGCGTCATACTTATGACCAATGATAATGAGAAAAATTTCGCACAGATTACAATTTTAATTTTTTTACCATATTTTATCATTTGATTACTCCCCTAGCGGCGAAGTTGTATATAATTTCCGGCAATTCTAGGGACCACTTTAAAAACTTCTCTGACCTGTAAGAATAAACGGTTAGCCAGAGGGGCTAGCGGCGAGAGTAGTGATGGGCATTTACGCTCTTGCAGTTAAGCAGTGATCTCTCTGGTCACGGTTTGGATGGGTGACCGAACTCGTAGAGTGCGGGGCCCATCCAAACGGTGGAATGAATGGGAGAATAAATGAGAAGATTGAAAGGGAAGGAGAAGGGCATCTAAATGATGGTACAATAAGCTACCGAAAGCTGCAGTGCCGCCATGCGAACCCCAGAGGACGGAAGGTAGGCTGGAACCCAATTAGATTGGAGGGAGCGAAGGCTGGACTCCAATCCGGATTGGGGGGAGCCTGCCAGAAACCCCTCAGGGGGGAGCAGAGGGATGCCTGAAAGAATAAAAAAAAACGTATAAACGGTTATTTAGATATGTCCGGCGTCCTTTCTTATTTGGTCACCCGGTACAAGATCGAGTCGTATTAAAATTAATGCTGCTAGTATTACCAACGTTATATGAAATAGCAATACATTTCAATTAAAAAAGTGACCACTCTGTATAGGGGGAGTTAGATATTCCTGTAGATATCGACACTTTTTCCCTAAAATTAGTTAAGGGAATCGTAGGGCTAGTAGCAACTACGTCCTTCTAAATTTAGTTTGGCCATTATTTTTTTGGAAGTTGTTTGTAAAATTTAGCTTTTCTTACGTAATAATTTCTTACGCTAATCTTAATAATAACAATAAAATGTTATTATTTTGACAATAGGAAGTGTTTTTTAATTACCTGACCCAAATTAATCCGTATCAACTGCAATGAAAATATAAGGGAACAAAAAGTGTAAAAGAAAATGTAATGAAAAACTATAAATACTACAAACTAGAATCAAACTCGTAAATTTCTTAGGTCACTGAGAACAGTATCGAATCGGCATATTACCATGGTAACGTCTAACAAAAATGGCTAATAAGTTTTTAAATTATGACGTTCGAGGTTTTATGTTTTCAAGTACAGTAAATAGTCTTTTGTTTATGGTATGTTAGTTAGTGGTAAATAATAAAAAAAATGGATGATCAAATTCCTTCAACTAGTCGAAATTTTCTGAAGAAAACTAAACATCTGTTTGCTTATTCTGAAGATATATTAGATAGCTTCAGTGAAGAACCTAATGATGACAGCGATAGTGACGACTATTTGTCGGAAAATGAAGTAGTTGTAGGAAGAAAACATGAACTCGAAACCGATGAGGAAGTTTCAGATGGATTATTAACAGATGATGATTTGCCTTTAGACGTTCGTTTTAGACTAATTCAAGAAAATCAAAAATGGAAAGTACCGACTGATGACTAAAATTTTATTCCAATTATACATCCTTTTACAGACGATAACTACGGACTCCAGCCTGCCACCGGACTTGATGAAAATTCAAGCTGTTTAGATATTTTTAAATATTTTTTTGGGAATGCCTTAATGCAAGTTTTAGTAAATGAAACAAATGCTTACCAGGTACGAGTTAGAGAAAATTTTGAACAAAATGGAATTCTTTCTTCAGGTTCAAGAATGTACCAATGGTATAATGTGACGTTAAATGAAATGTATGTTTTTTTAGCCGTAATAATCTATATGGGTACAACGGGACTTCCCACTATAAACATGTTTTGGAGTAAAGATGCATTATACAATTTCCCATTCGTTAGAAATTGTATGTCTAGGAATAGGTTCCAGAATATACTGAAATTTCTTCATTTTAACAGCGAAGAGGGGACAAACAAAACAGTTAAAATACAACCGATATTGGATATCTTGATCCCATTATTTGTAAGTGCATATCGTCCTGGAAAAAATATAGTTGTTGACGAAACTTTGATGCTATGGAGGGGTCGTCTGTCCTGGAAGCAGTATATAAAATCAAAACGAGCACGTTTTGGAATAAAGGCTTTCAATCTATGTGATTCAGAAACAGGATATTTATATGACAGCGAACTGTATATTGGTAAAGACAATAATGAAAGAGGGCGTAGGGATTACGGTGTTTCCGGTCAGGTAGTCTTAGATCTAATCGGAAATCTGGCAAGCCAAGAGCGCACAATCTTTCT